ATGATACAGATGAAATTCATATTTTTTAGGGCAATATTATATAAACTCATAGAAGTAAAAGTAAAAACATCTGACCGTTTTCTACCTATTTCCGTAAAGAAAAGAAAATTCTCAAGTCTCGTTCACGCTATCTTCGCAGTACTGATCCCTGTATCCTTTCGAGTTAATGTGTCTCCTTGGTGAGCGATTTTATTTAATCAAGGTCAGTAGAAAAGTTTTTTATGTAAAACATTTCAAACAAACAGGTGGTTCTTTCGTATTAACGAATGTAAAACTCCCACGACATACCACATGATATAGTGTTCGGGAACACTTTCGCGTACACTTACACGATACTGTCAGCGCATGGGGAACACCTCCCCTCTCATGCAAGTAAGGCACGCTGGAACGTTCAAGGTGCCTTATCCCAAGTTCGCTGACTAGAGCCAATGGGAGCCAGGGGAGCCACTCGTCTCCATTGGTCCGTAACTAGGACCAGTGGAGTACCTGGTCTGTGAGATGATGATGATAAACAGGAGATGCTTCGTGACTCCATAACAGTTAAAAAACGTTATTTAACGTCAAGCAGATTCCTTTTATCGGTTTTTGTTTCCAAGCCATTTATTTTTGGAAAATTTTCACCCTACAGACATTAATCGACTGTGTAAACTGTGCGAGGTGCAAAATTCCAACGCAATATGCAAACATCGGTGGTACATTTACAGCGCGCACGCCTGAAAAATGTAAACAACACATCAGATGGGGTTTAGGGGGAGTTTCAAATGTCCGTTGGCATAAAAGCGACATTGGCGGCCGTTTTGCGAAAGATTGAAACGCATTGAATATGGACGCGCGCTAACCAGCCCGGGGCGTCGGCAGGTGGACGTATATTAAACGGCACGTACGCTGGCCTAATTCGGCGGAGCTCCACAAAACTGCACTGGAACGAGTGCACGTGTAACGGCGCTCATTCAACGCAGCTGCTCTAAAATACAGGACGTTGCTCGAATTTCCGAAACTACCTGTATCTTTACGCGGCATCGATGAAAATCTACCAACACACTTCTTTTTGCTATATAAAACTAAGAATTTCGAAAGCGGACGAGGTAAATATATTTAAGCAAAGACACGTAGCGTCTTTAGCTTGATAACGGTGATGTAATAAGGTCAGACGGAAGGTCGAATATGAAAAGAAGAAGACAAAAGGAATGAGATAAAGAAGAGAATGAAAAAAATCCGGCTCTTGATTCGGATGAAGACTCAATTGAAATCACTCAAATATCGAGGGCTTACTTAACCCTGAGTCAAACATAATAATATCCCAAACTCACATAAAGTGCCCTATAACCTATACCCTCAATCGTCCCCGAGAATGATTCGGCAGAAATGGCCGAACAACGGAGCGGAGTTGAAGGAAGACGTAAAGCGGTCGAGTAATTTAAAATTTTCATACACAGCGCAGGCTCGAGGGCTCGGTTATTAACGGCATATTATGCAAAGCCCGCTTCAGTCTTATAATAAATTTCAGCGGCGAAACCACGCCGGGGATTACCTCGTCAGCTCTGAGACGGGTGGCCGTCTTTTTTCCTTCCATCGCCGTAGATTAAGAGTTTAATTATTCCATTTGAAAGGCGGCTCAAGTGCCAGTGTCAAAATGCATAATGCTATTTCTTAATAAGGAGCTTCTACGAGTTGCGTTTGCCATTCTTTGGAGAACAACATGGCGCTAGTTTTAGTAGTTGCCACAGTATAAAGACAGAGTGCGTTGGCTTCGTAAAACCTCAAAGCTTCATCAGTTTGACTACCCGATTGGCGTTGTGGGCAGTGACCCTGCCTCATACGCCAGAGGGCGTGGGTCTATCCCCACTTCTGGAAAAATATTGTGTGATGAACAAAGTGTTTTTCCAGGGCCTGGGTATTTATATATTTACAATATGTATTTATTTACATAAGAAAAGTATGTTTATCACGTTTTTAATGTTTTTTAATGTTTAAGTATGTTTATCATTTATCTAGTACCCATAGTACAAGAGTGGCTTAGTTTGGGACTAGAAAACGTGTAAAAATGTAAAGAAACATTTATGATATTTATTTATTAATTTAATCTCTTGTGTCGAATAAATTTCCACCGTTATTCATAAAGTGACAAATCCTATTCGTCATTTATACCATATATCCTATCATTTAAGGATGAATATCCCATTTTAGTTATACTTGTTCTAATGATTAGAGAACGTCATGCCTTGATCAAAATTCTGGAATAAACAATCTTGTATTATCATTTTTGAAATCTAAAAAAATAAGCGAGCCATAAATAATGACGTCGGCGCTCGTTCAGTGTGAGATTTCAAAGTTCTCGTCTAGCCGAATGCGAAAAGTTTGGTATCGATAAGGAAACTTGTTATAGACCTCCCGGAAACTGTTTTGCGTCTTCACTCCTGAAGTAGGCCGTTGACTGACACTCCCCCCCTCCATGGGCCGTTTCTCCGTAATGACGTCACTTAGTTACGCACCACTGGAGCCGACTTTTTACACTGGATGCGGATAAGCCCACAATTTCCTTGCTCAATTCCCTAACGTTTTGTCATTTGGACATTTAAAAAAAAGCCGACTTTCAAAGTGTAATTTCAATAAACGATGCAATCCAGAAAAGTGTACATTTGGAAGCAAAGTTTACATGAACCTATTTTAAATCCATAATAACGCTTATTTTATTATACGAGTAATGAAAATTCTTCAATGTAAGTCACACAGTCATATCTAACATTTCTAACGTTATAAATTTACTAAGAGTCATTATATTTATATGGTTCCGCGCATTTTAAGAAATTACCCACCCAAAATTATATAAATAATTTACACATTGCTTTGTTTTGTGACAATATTTTTGTAACGGACTTGCTAGTTCATAATAAACATATTTGACATTAAATATAGATTATGTTATTAGACATAGCCCAGAAGATTAGCAAGCTGAAGTGAGCCGGCCGTATAGCTCGTAGAACCGATAATCGATGGGGTAGAAAAGGTTCTTGAGTTGCAGCCTTGTACTCGCCATCGCAGTGTAGGACGACCTCCCACTAAAGGCAAACTCAAAGTATCTTTTTTCAATATAGGCTTAACTAAAGTTCTTTTTGGACGTCAACAAAAAAACTACCACCAGTTAAGTAAACTAGATCTGAACAGAGAAGAACCGGCAAGTAACTGTGTGGAGAAGAAACTAGATGGAGTGACGGCCTGTGCAAATGTGCGGGAAGTCGATAGATGTAGGTGGCTCAGGATCGTGTTTCGTGGCAGTCTATGGGGGAGGCCTATGTTGAACAGTGGACTCAAACAGGCTGATATGATCGCCAAAATTAATAAATATCCGTCTTCCCTTTGAGGGTTTACAACGTGAGAGCATATTTTATATGTGACAAAGTATGACTTACACAAAACTGCCTGTCCCCAGTATATGATCCGTCCCAACTCACTTAATCCGAAATCAATATACAATCCATTGGCATTATGCAACATGGCACCGTATAATCCTGCCGAAGTGAAAATCCCCGTTAGCTGGCCAACTGCCAGACGCGGGGAGTTGGACTCAATTAGTGGAATGATAACTGCGACTCGCGTATTGATTTTCATGCAATCGCTGCATCAGTGTTGTTCGGAATTTTAGGACGTGAATTTGAAGTTCCTGGACCGTTTCGAATGATCTCAATCGAATGAAGAGTAACATAGAATACTCTTATGACTTGAATATATGCAGAATACGCTTCATTACCCAATTGTTGTGACGACGTAACTTACGATGACACGAAATTTATCGTGTGGTATTTGGTTTGTAATGTAGGCCGATCTCATAATATGTTAAATTTCACTAATGACAGTTTGTCGAGTTACCTTACTGTTGACTTCAGGCACGTATTGCGCGATTAAATATTCTATAATTACAAAAATACATCTATTTCTGCAAAAGCAGGTGCGGTAGCTGGGCCCCCGTTATTATAAGGTGGCAACGCTCCTGCAAACTTGCGGGTGTTGCAAAAGTCCATGGGTGGCGGTTAACATTTAACATCAGGTCTTCTTAAAAAAATGATTATTTTTTTATTATTCCTTAAATATAAGGATTTTACCAAGATGTTTTCTTTTAAGTTCGAATGTGAAATAATAACTAAGAATTGTATTTTTTTTATATTATTATATTCATTTATCTCTATGTATAAAAGTAATATAAAAATGTTATAAATAACTTAAACGAATAATCCAGACGCTCGAGCGTGCTCGATTTGACTTTCAGTACCTCTCTCTTAGAGTTAGATGCACGATATTAGATTTACGAGAGTTAGATACACGAGTAAATAATCGAAAAGTGACGCTATATTCATTTTATTTAAAGAACATCCGTGATGGGGGTTCCTCGACTACACATTTTTTTTAAGCGAAGCGTGGTGTCTACATTATGTACGCGTTCTCTAAATAAGCGAAATAAATATTATATACATACAAACAAAAAAATGCCTCTCATTCATATTACGTGATTACTCCACCGCGCTACCATACAACTTCAATGATAATTGGAAATGTTTCTGATAGTTTCGTGTAATTCATAATGATAACACGAAGCGTAATCGGAACACGAAGTTATCAATTTTTGGAGCTGTACTTATTTATTACTTAAGTTCTTCTTAGTTTTCTATTTTTCCAAGTTGGCACAGAACCGACGATCTGGGGTTTTCTATTTATATATATACATAGATATGTATATATATACAGATCAGTCTTTAATCGCTGCGGGAATCGAACCCACGTCGTAAGGATTCGCGCTCTGACGCTCTAGCCACTAATCTAAACGGCTGATTGTCACACCGACGAAAATCTCAACGTATTTTATATACATAGTTTTTTGCATTTCAAGCAATTGCTACCTTTTTATTAACTTAAACTATTCTGCAGGCTACGAGTAACTTTGACCGCAAAAGCTCGGTAAAAGTGGACAGCATTTTTGAAAGTTTAATCCATCTTGTTAGGGTTTAAGACGTCATAGGCTCCATTGGCTCGTTTAGAATATATTCGGGGCTACATAAAGCGGTGGAATCAGCTCTGTGTGACACCCTTCGACCAGAACGGGTTGGCGTCGTGTCGTGGCTGGTGTCCGACCTAACACTTGTTAACGCCCCAGTATCGGAGTTTAACGTAGCAACGTCTCTAATTGCTGCTGGCGGCGTGCCAGCTACATGACCGCAATACGCCGATAATTTCTGATTCCCCTTATTAGAAAGCGATTTCTCAGCCGGTTCACGGATGAATGTGTCCTTTTGTCTCCTTATCCAAGTATTCACGTGGCGCTTGCAAGCAACAGTTGTCATGTTAGCTTGGTGCTAATTTGAAATGCCGCAATTTTTTTTTCTTAGGCGAGTAGGTGGCAAACGAGCTGGCGGTTCATCCGGTGTCGAACGATGGCCGCCGTCCATTGAAATTTGCATCACCCGTAGGGTTGCAGATGCGTTGGCACCTTTTAATAAAGTGGGCACGGCTACCTCTCTCACCAGGCGAAACGCAGAAGTATGACACTTCTACTTGACGCCGATCTTCTGTCAGGTCGTGGTACTTTCCCCGACGGACCTGTCACACGGTCTTATCACAGTTTCTACTGTGATAAGGCCGTGTGACAGGTCCGTCGTTTACTAGCTTGCGATAAGAAAATTACTATACTATTAATTATGGAGATCAAAAAATAAATAAATGATATAATACATTCATCATATACTCTGCTTGAAACTACTACATTATTAATGCCCACCTATTATTAATAATATAAGGAAAAGTTGGCTTATAGAATCCTAAACGACAACAATGTTTTTACATAAATTAGCTATTAGAAGTGCCGCTAAAATGAGTCATACACCAGAGAGGCTCCTTTATGCAAAAAAAATCATCGTATGAATTAAATTCATGCAATTCTAGATACATGAATGTATAAATATCATCATTTCGTAATACACTAATTTTGTACATTGTTCATATTAGACATGCTGATCAAATGACTAAGCATATAAAATATGTAAACGAGTTCTTATTTAATTTAATTGGAATTAATAATTATTTTGATCGATCGCAGCCACAGAGTCATTATATGTTTAATGGAACTTCATGTTTCAAAGGGCCAGCATGCTTATTTGCTAATTGATAATAGATGAAAGCATTTCAGCGGCATCCTATATACAATACTATAGGATTACTTAGGAATGATTTGCTGTTTTGTTTGATTAATTTAATTACACGGTGATTGTAAACATTGCATAGCTCATTGGATCGTTACCGCTAAATATCCTAACAGCCTATATGTTTTGTATGCAATGTCAACCGTGAATGTACAAACGTGCAAAGTGAATGGGAATATGATCGCTTTATATAAGTTAGCCTCGCCCTTTCTGCTGGGTGTCTTCAGCCACCCGAACACGTATCTTTGTAATTTGATTTTCAAATACGGATCCGTCGAAAGTTGGAACTTGAAGAGCAACTTCTGGAAGCTTACTCGAAACAAAATATTGTTCAAACTCCACCGAATGTCGAAGAGGCAGACAAGCAAGAAATCTGACGTACTTTGGATGTCCAATCTGTTATACATATTATTTAACAGCACGGTATTAGTAAACTCTAGTCCGATAATTTTTGATAAGATAAGTAAGCCGCAGTTGAATAAACACGGCTGAATATTCGGCACGGAATGGCACTAAAGATCTTACGGATGAAAAGCATATACTTCGTTGGTATTGAAAAGTTTCAAAGCGTACTTTCTATTTATTCAAGCGCTATTGAAAGCTGTAAAACATTCATTATTTTCTTAACTGGTGCCACTCCATAAAACAGATATATATACAGCTTGGTCGAATAATCATTCAGCTACCAGTACCTCATAACCGTCATTGAATTGAAGCTTTACTCATTGGGCTGGATGACACTCAAATTGGGACATTAATTGACTCTACTCAGCTCCACTTGAATTTATCACCCATTCAGTTCAGACAAGAGTGAGTTTTTATGTCAATAAGCAATGATGGTTTATATTCACACTTTATTTCTTATAGATTTGCGATCTCATACCGCCAGCTCAAATACGTATGGATTGTACACCTTCAGGTTTTGATTTAGTTTGATGAGCTCAATATTTGAGCCAATGATGACCTTTTTCAGCTTATCAGCCCGAGAATCTACAGTCTTCTTTCCAAAGTTAAGCCATTTCAGAGCAAAACCGACGTGAAATTTAATAAATATTTACAACTAGCTGCTGCCCGCGACTACGTCTGTGTAGAATAGGCTGAAGGCGTAACATTCAGACAGAAAGACAGAGATACATAAAATATGTATATGCATTATATCCTATGTCTTATTCTGATGTATAAGCTACATTATTGTAAAGTTACATTAAAATCCATTCAGTAGTATTTGCGTGAAAGAGTAACAAACATCTATCCATACAAACAAACTTTCGCGTTTATAATATTAGTAAGGAAGTAAGGACTAGAAATTAGTCTAACCCTTAGTATGATATTGACATGTTTTTTAAAATCTCGTTCTTTTAATATATTTTTAATGTGATCATTTGATTCCTTCACTTATTAGTTATACTACTCGTATGCGTAATCAAAACGACCGAAAGGAACCAGACCCGTCTTCGTTACAACACCAATTAAAGCAGAATAACTTAGGGTTCATCCACTAATGGCCAGTTTCAATATTCTATCTACAGATAGATTTGGTTACTTTCGAGCGGTATTTGACATTGGAGCCATAATACTTACGTCAAAATTCTATCCCCAGTAACAAAATCTATCTATAGATAGTATATCGAAGGCCATTAGACTTTTTGAGTTTTTGAAATTTCTTGTGCTAATTAGCTTATTACCTTTATTTCGGTGCCCGGGACCTTTTTACTATCAATTATGTATTTCTACCTTTTATGTTTTGTTCTGAGTTCGAAACTATTTAATGATTAGTAGCCGAGAGTACATTCCATATACCAGTCTTGCTGATATATTCTATGATTGCCTAATCGTCAAATATGTACATCGTTTTCGTGTTTTGTGTTCACAAACATACGGAAGCAAGGTTTTTGTATATATATCTTTTTTATCTAAATCTTTATAAATAAATCTTTTTTATCTATAAATATCGTAAGTATTTTAAGTATCCATCCTCCTCGAGATTGAGTTTATGAAAAAGGAAGGATATTATAATTGCTGGAAGCATAAATTAATGTGTAGTAACTGTTTGAGCCGTTTTTCATAAGATAACCTTTTTGTTGCCAATGTAAATCGAACCAATCTATTACTTTTTCTTCATTGTTCCATTTTGGATTTTTTAAATTTTGTCTTGTCATTCAATTTTCATTATTATTGGAAGCGTCCATTTAACACAAATATTGTTAAACCTTGTTACAAATTTTACAAATACGCAAATAGTGTTTTCATTTTGTTCCCTTATGGAACAGTAACCGTTCCATTCTTTTTATTATGCGTAGCTATGTCACGGGCCATGGCAAAGGTGCTAGACCGGAAATGACAACTTTATCACGCCCGCCCTTCGACGTCAGCTTCCGGCCGGCTCGGCGGGATAATCTGAGATTTTCCGAGCTCCCATTAAATTAGAACAAAACGCCGAACGCCTGGCAATATCGGCGGGGATTTTTTTTTCCCGAGCCAAAGCTGAAAATTGTCGTTTTAATTGATCCTTTATTATGCATTCCCGGAAATTATGTCAAAATGTATTTGCCGTTATTAACATTTAATTAATATCGTTTGTGCGCATGAGAAACAGTACTAATTAATTTTTTCAGTGCAGGAAACCATGGTAGTGATATTTGCGTATTGGATAAATATCATAGTATAAGACATAATATTTTTTTACTATCCCGAGAATCAATCTATAGTAATAAATTATTTTATTAAAAAGGTAATAGTAATGGAATGTAGACAAAAGGTCAAAAGGTGTTGTATTAAAACAATTTCAATTTCTTTTTTAAAGTGGCGGGTTCACCCAGTATTCTCGACTGTTGCATGAGTGTGCAAGTCCGTGGACGTCCGGGGACGTACCCACAGAACTGGCTTGAAGTAGAAAATTTATAGTTATGCGTTCCTCGCGCACTTATCGTACCACTATTTATAAAAACGGCAAAAAAAATCATGTCTGTTGGAAGAGAGCCCCACTTAAAAATATTTTTGTTCTGTTTTTTAGTATGTTTTGTTATAACGGCAACAGATACACATCATCTGTGAATGTTTCAACCCTCTAACTATCACAGTTCAAGATATACAGCCTGTTGACGGACGGACAGACAGACAGGCAGCGGAGTTTTTGAAATAGGGCCTCGTTTTACCCTTCGGGTAGGGAACCCTACAACGATACTACCCGACAATGGCGGTTTAACGTGTAACGCCCCCAATGAGATTATCTGAATTATCTCATGAAAACACCTCATTAGTAACTATTTGCGAACTCCGTAAGCGCCGCATAATTTCCGAACCGAACTTCGCCGACTAACACCGGACGGAGGGGCGCCAGCACCACCTCCCCCCGGGGGCGGATTTAAAGCGGGAAATGAAATGCGAACTTTCGATATTTACACACGGACCCCACCGGCTTTAATGCGAATCAACTTTGCACTCGATTCCGCTGTTGCAGTAGTTGTTTTTTTTTTAAATACGCGACGTACCGACACGCACAACTGAAGCCGAGTTCGCAATGTTGGTAAACGCGCACCTTTACAATTAGTAAAGCACTCTTTGTTCTAATCGTCACTTTTTAACGCTAGTGATTTACAGCTCAGAACTTTTTACAAAAAAACATGCCACCGTAAAACATACAGTCGTTGTGACACGCTGTAAATACCGAGGCTTAGACTACCTAAAACCGGGAAATTGTTTTTTGGTAGATGCAACCTATATAATGTAATAGGTGTCATCCACAAACAATTAAGTTTAAATAATTTCAAACGTTTTGTAAAAGCCAACTTAACGGAAAGGGCCTATTATAGTGTCGAGGAATACATGGAGGACAAGGATGTGTGGAAATGACTTGCTCTGTCTGCCCTTTCAAGTCCCCTGGCTTCGCTAATTTTATACTTAAATATTTTTGTGTATATACTTAAATAACTCATAAAAAATATATGATCGCAGAGTTTCTTGCCGGTTCTTCTCTGCCAGGACTAGTTAAGTGAACCGGTGGTAGTTTTTGACGTTCAACAAGAGCTTAAAATAAACCTATCGAAATTTGGTACACAGATAGTCTAGAGCCCGAGAAAGGACATAGGCATTTTTTTAATTGGAAAAAAAGTGTTGAAACTTATTTATTTAAGATTTTCAACGCG